TCCGCCACTACTAAACTCGCTGGTAGAAGGGGTATACAAGGGATGTGTACCTATCCTGCCCATGATTTCCGTCACTTCGTCAAAGTGGAATAGGTCAATCGGGAATTCATAGCCACTTATATATTTACGATTAGTATCTCTGCAATAAATAATATTGAAAGTTTTAGATTTTAATGAAATTTATATTAATTTTTTAAATATCCTTAATTAATATTTATCGCCATTTTATTAGTGTTTTTATAAATTCCTGTCATTCATATTCGTACAGAAATAAAATTTGATTTACCTACCTCTTTCATTAGTGTATTATTAAAATTATCCTTGTAAAATTATTGAAAACCATTTATTATTAGAAACTATTTCATAAATTGATGCTTTTTTATGAATAGCACATTTAGCAAATGTTCTACAATTATTCAGTCCCATAATCGACTTTGTCAAGTCATAATTCCTTGGCGTAGAAAATTTACGACTCACCTATCGCAGAATAATCAAGAACACCTTTCCGCTGCTAATATTACTGACGTTGCTGACTCATGCTGAAGATACATTCGTGGTAGAGTTTCAGTTGAATGATGTATTACGCAAGGAATCTGTTCCAAAAAGTAATATAATTAGTATGTTTCACAATTCGAAAGAGAAATTCTAAGAGATTTTAAATTTTATTAAATTTGTTATATAATTAACATTTCAATCATATTGAACAAAAAAAAAATATAGGTTCCCCTCAAAAAGTTCATTTTTTGTTATAACACTTAAGTATATCAAGAATAAAAAATGTACTGACTACATATACTTTTATATAATTGTATAATTATACGTAAAAATATTCTAAATAAATATAATGAAATAAATGTAATAATTTAAATATTATAATACAATCGTATTTATGCTTTATTTTACTTCAAATGTATAATAAAATGATATTACATTAATAGCAGTAATCATATTAGTTTGAAACTCATAATAATTTAAAAAGAAGAGTAAAAATACGTACGTCAATTCTCTGAAAACAATGTTAACTCGTACAGAATTCGTCGATCATTCTGAAAATGTCTCTCCAATGTATCGCAACCGTCGATAATATCGATAATAATATCGATTAACTTTAACTCCTTCGAAATGTTGTTGCGCCATATTTTTATTAAATACGTAAATCATAAAAGAAATTAATTTCAGAATAAATAAATTTAAACAAATTTATTATATTCATAACATATATGAGACTTATTTAATATGTTACGAATATTAATAAAATATGATATAAAATAAAAGAAATGTATAAATTATTTTTAAACAATTACATAATTTTATCATACGCTATTAATTAAAGTTACGATTAAAAATATAAATAAGGAAAGATAAAGTTATCGAATTCAATATTACACTTGATTAATAATAGTTACGAGTCAGGAATAACTCTACATATCTTATTGATACAAAGTTTGTGGTATAACTGACGTCTTTAGAATAACTTACATAGTATAACCTATACTCAAGCGTTGTTGGTTAGAAACAAGTAATATAATTAAAAGTTATATATGATATTTGGAAACATATCAAATGTTGTTTTTGGAATACATTTACAAAGTTATTATTATTATGCATAAAACCTTTTCAATTCAAATCATTTTACAAGTATAAAAAAATTTGTTTAATGTATCATTAAAGTTATTTATTATTAATACTTACATATAATTCCTATAAATTTGAATAGTATAGCATGTTATGGAAAGTTATTTCTTATGAATTTAAAGTACTCACGAAATGTATGAAATGATAGATCCTTCAATATGGATGAAATAGAATATCGATATAGATAGATTCTGTATTAAGTCAATACATTAGGTCGTTTTAAAGAGGCTCTTGAAAGGAAAGTAGCGATACTTCAACGTGCGTCAAATTAATAATTGAATATCGTTTATAAATTTTCTCATTGACTACAGTAGTTATTAGCTTATGTAAAAGATAAAGATATGCAATATGTGAGAGATAACAAATTTAAGTGTCATGTAAGTTAAACATGTTGAGAACAATTTCTCAACTGACTCCTGTAGTAGCACAGTCTCAAATATGGCTGAAACATCAGCTAGTGCGTTGTAGTCTGTACAGTGTGGTTGGTTGTTACTGTGGCTCGTATAACGATTTATCTCGTATTATTATACATCAGTCTAAATGTTTCGTGTTCTGCCTATACAATATTACGAAAAGGGAATTCCAACAATTCAGTAAAACTGCTGTCATCACATGCAGCGAGATAAAAGGAGAAAAAATGGCACCAACGCGTGTTATTCTTATGTCGTGTGGCAGTTATAACCCTCCAACCAACATGCATTTAAGAATGTTTGGTACATATATATCATTCCGTATAATCAATATCGAGTCTTTGCATAAATACAAAACTCTCCAATTTTTGCGTAATGTAGTAGACGAATCTTGCAACAGTTAAGCTTTGTTGATTATTTGAATACGTCAAAGCATTGTTAAGATAACACTATGTAAACATCATGAATTTATGTCATCGACGTCTAAAAATAGTTTAGAATGTAAAATGCATGTTCACAAAATCATCAAGTTTTAATCAAATTTCCGAATGAAACTATTTATTAATAGATTAATTTAAATAATTCGTGTAATTCTTTCTTTGTGAACACAATTTTGCTTTTGCTTTAACATATGAGATATAATGATAGCAATTCATCTGAAATTTTCAGAAATTGCCAGAGATCATCTTCATCGAATGGGAACCCATATCGTGGTTGGTGGTGTTATATCTCCAGTACACGATGCATATGCTAAGAAAGAACTAGCATGTGCCACACATAGATGTTCTATGTTAAGATTAGCATTACAGAACAGTGATTGGATTAGACTCAGCACTTGGGAAACTAGGCAAAATGGTTGGACAAAAACCAGATTAAGTTTACAGTACCATCAAAATTTATTAAATTCTATGTTATTTGATTCAAACCACGTTAAACATAATGTACCAATTGAAGATCTAGAATGGATCCCAGAAAATGTAAAAAATAGTCCTGATCGTACACCAATTCAAATTAAACTATTATGCGGTGCTGATTTATTAGAAAGTTTTGGAACATATGATCTTTGGGCTGAGGAAGACGTAAGTTGATAAGTTTTTTATATTACACTACCATCTTTAATAATGTTTTGTTAATTATAGAAAAATGTCTTTAATGTTTTATTTACAGATTGATGCCATTGTTGGAGAACATGGTCTTGTAGTTATTACAAGGGAAGGTTCTAATCCAAATAAATTCATATATGATTCAGATATTCTATCCAAGCATATGGTAATTGAACTTTTAACAATACGTCTTACATATTTGTTACATTTTCCTAATTTTGTTTTTATTTTTAACTTCTGCACAGCACAATATATACATAGTGACCGAATGGATTCCAAATGAAGTTAGCTCAACTAGAATAAGGCGGGCATTGAAGCGAGGTGAGAGTGTCAGATATCTCCTGCAAGATGCTGTGATCGATTACGTATATAAGCATGGGATTTATGATGCAAAGACAACAGCATCTACAATGTGAGTTTAAACATAATTTAACTGAAATGTTAGTGTACTTAATTAGTGGAAATTTAATAGTATATTTATCAGTAGAATTATACAAGTATTTATTTTTATATATTTTGTATGAGAAGTATATATTTTTATAGCAATCATATTCCACGTAGTTGGTGAGTTTAGAGTGTACAGAATTGGTTAATTTAAGATGTTGTAAAGCTGTTGTACATTAATACATTTATATATTTTATGATTACAATTTAATCCTTTTAGTACTCAATAATGTCGACACATTAATCGTAAGATCGTCTATTATTGTTACTAAAATGTTGATCTTTAAAAGAATAAAATTTAAAATATTCAATTATAATGGAAATATGAAGTTCTTTACTACAAAGTGATTTCTTAAATGTTTTATAGATATTATAAAGAATGTTAACGAATTATGCAATAATGCACAAATTTATCTTATTAAGAAATGTAATTTTTAATTAGAAATGTGTGTAATTCTTAAACGTGTATAAACTGAAGGTTTATATAAATATGAATATTAAGGAATACATTTAAGTCCTTAATAATAATATAAATATTATTAATGAATACATTTAAGTACTTAAAGTACCTGTATTTTTGAATGATTGACTGATTTTTGAAAATTATTTATCCAATAGATATCCATATATACATAGAAGTATAGTGAATTTCCATAAAAGAATTTATTGAGTGTTAAAAGGGTTAACCTATCCTGTACAAACAATACACAGCAATATATTAGTCTAGTCTAAGAGTCTTCCATTTATATGTAAATCAAATCTTAACAACCTACTTCCTCACACTGTAATCACGAATAAATTTTAGCAACTGCATTTTTCTTACATTCCTTACATTACGTTAACTTTTCTAAGTAGTTACATTTAATTTTCTAATTGTAGTAAAAGTACCGATTCACGGATAAAGGTAATTTTCGTTGCTTTGCTCAATTCCCTTTGCCATTCAAACACCGTCGACGAACTCGAGCGACACAGATGTCTTTCAAATACGATTAAACAAATTAGTGGAACATCTTTGTCCTGAATCGGGCTTCTACCAAGCATCGATATAACGAAGACCATGTAAAAAATAGTGTCTTGTTTTTCACGCTGCCAATCTACTTGGACACTGAAGTAAGTTGGAACTGACCTCGCCCAACGCGAATAATTACTTGACCATTGATTCCAAGTATCAAAGCACCTTTCTCACGCCGTCGCCTAGCGACGTTACCATGGATTCCCCGAGTCCGATCGAAATTATATCCATCGATGTGCCTGATACGGTTCTGCGTAAGAATACCCAGAACGCAACGAACATGGCTTGCATCGCCTCCCGACATGTCGGTGGCGGCCTCGAGGAGGCGCGCGAGAAATTCATTAGCGCTCTCGTTGCCGAGAACGGTAACGCCAAACATTTAACGACCGCGAAGGCCGCGTATCCAGGTCTCGCGAAACAGATCATCGCCACCGAAACCGGCGAATCACAGATCCTCGACGAGGTAGGTTTCGTTGACGATGATAGAAAGGTCAGGAAGGTGGTCAGGGTACAGCCCCGATCGAGTCAGCGGGAGGAGGTGTCCCAGGTTGTCGCCACCTCGTCCAAACGCGAGAACCTCGTGAAAATCAATGCGATACCCTCTATCGAGGCTAAGGGCAGCGTAGTTAAACCGTCAGAAATTAATAACCGAGTTCGAATCGCGCACGATATCATCGAAGTAGGATTAGGAAGCGGTAGAAGCAAGGATCGCGACGTTAAGTCTTCGATTTCGTCTTCCACTGTTTCGTCTGCGACGATATCCGCAATAAACAATGGCGGAGGACGCCACGAGTGCGCCTTATCCGACTTCAGCGTGGACAAAGAGGACTACAGGCTCACGCGATATGGCTTAGACGACACAGCTGAAGACAAAGTCCAAGATGGACGTAAAGATCTTCGATTAGGGAAGCAACGATCGAACGACTCCATCGAGAATCAGCA